AAAAGTAAGCACTTTGACTGCGTGCTTTTCTTCAAAGTCGGCAAGTTCTACGAGTTGTATCACATGGACGCAGTTATTTCGGTTAACGAGCTCAGCCTCACGTACATGAGAGTAAGTCCAGAAACATTCTAAAAATGTAAAAGATATTCCTCTCGAGAATTCATTCTTTGACATAAATTATTATCATTAAAGGGCGAATTTGCGCACTCTGGATTTCCCGAAATCGGATACGGCCGTTATTCGGCGAGTCTTATAGAAAGAGGATACAAAGTAGCGCGAGTCGAGCAAACCGAAAACCCGGAGATGATGTCAGTGCGTTGCAGCAAAAGTATGAAATCGCGCAGAAACATATTTGCATTTTTATCCGTATGAAAGAACATGGATTTAATTATAATTATATATATATGATGCATATTCGTACCGTTCTGTTTGCAGTGTCTAAAGTGACAAAGTTTGACAAAGTCGTGAAGCGAGAGATCTGTCAAGTCAGTACCAGAGGTACGAGAGTGTATACTCCGCTGGATGTGGAAGCGTCCACGCCGAACTCTAATTATCTGTTGTCCTTGGTCGAAAAATGCAATCCTGGTTCGACCATCAGCACTTTCGGAGTGTGCTTCATCGACACGACGATAGGCGAATTTTATCTCGGCCAGTTTGACGATGATCGCTGCAACTCCAGACTGTTGACTTTGCTGGCTCATCATCCACCGGTTCATGTATGATATTGCAGTTTACAATAATTTCTTCTAGCTTATTGTTTTAAATATGTTTTGTTATTCAATTTTTGCTGTCTGCCTTCTAGGTATTATACGAGCGTGGTAATTTATCGCAAAAGACTCTGCAGATTATAAACAGTACGCTACCAGCTGCGTTAAAAGAGGCGCTACAACGCGAGGTGCAATTCTGGTCTGCTACAACCACGTTAAAAGTTAGTATACAATAAACAATAATTAGTATATTAAAAATTAAAGAAAATATAGTATTTGTGAAATATACCTTTTTTTTTTTAAAGAAACTTCATGAAGGAGACTATTTCAAGAATGAACAGGATTCCAGCTTTGCATGGCCCGAAGGCCTGAAACCGTATCTCAACGAAGGTACTTAGCGATAATTGGAAATCTCCTGTATGTTTGACAGTAGATATTTTTATATATAATACAAATTATTTTTATCACGCATCAGGAGACAGCTTGGGTTTAACACCAGCTGACAACAAGGAACTGGCGATACATGCACTGGGCGGATGCGTGTACGTGCTGAAGGACTTTCTGCTCGAACAGCAATTATTAGCTCAGGCTTGCTTCAATACTTATATTCCGCCAGACTTCTCAGCCACGAGCAATCTCAATCTCGCGAATAACATGGTGATAGACGCTGTGGCGATAAAAAATCTAAGGATTTTCGGAGAGGGTTCGCTCTGCAGCGTGTTGGATCGCTGCTGCACTGCGTTTGGCAAAAGGTAAATTTCAAATCGCACGTGCTTGCTTTTGTACGTCGCTCTGGACAAAACATGTATTTTTTTTTCTTAGATTGCTGCGCGAATGGATCTGCAGACCGTCTTGTCGCAAAGCCGTTATCATGCAGCGTCAGGAAGCCGTGCAGGAGCTGTTGGACCGAATAGACGTGACACAATCGGCTCGCGCAATCTTGTCGACACTGCCGGATCTGGAAAGATTGTTAAGCAAGTTAGTAAGAATGAATTGTAAATAAATCAAATTTATCTGTAAAAAAATACAATATTTGTTTACTTACTCGACAGAATACACGCTCAGGGAAATGCAGCCCGAATGAAGAATCATCCTGACGGCAGAGCCATAATGTTCGAAGGGCCGACGTACTCGAAGAGAGTAATCGTAGACTTCACGACGACTCTCGCGAAATTCGAAGAAGTTCTGAAGTTCATCGAGCAGTTTGACGGTACGCCTATTTTATTTTACATTTTAAATTTTTTGCGTGTAATCTCTAATTATCTCGATTGCAGATTTCAAAAGTAATCTGGTGACTCGCTGCACTCGCTACGAGCCGGACGGTGAATTCCCTCATTTGAGGGAAACTTTAGATTATTTTAAGGTAGCGCTTCCATTTTCCACAATTTCTCTGACTGTTTATCTTGTTTCTTACTCATCGTCTGCATTGCTGCAATTTCAGACCGCATTCGATCATGAGGAAGCTAAGAAGCAAGGTTGCATTGTTCCCAAAAAAGGAGTGGACGCCGAATATGATTCGGTATTGGCCGAACTTGCGGATAACACGAAGGATCTGAATAAGTACCTGGAGAAACAAAAGCAGCATTTCGGTGTAAAAGTAACATTTCACGGAACAGATAGAAAACGTTATCAGATCGAGATTCCCGATTCGCAAGTTAAGAAAGTCGGTCCCGGATACGAGCTGCAGTCGGCACGGAAAGGCTTCAAACGCTACTACACCGCCGAAGCAAGGGTAAGAGAATAATTCACACTTAAAAAAAAAAACCACAATTTTTGCGGTGAAATATTTTCAGCGATACAGAAAGCTAATTTCGATCGTTGCAGGAGCTTCTAGCGAGGCAGATGAACGCGGAGGAGCACAGGGATAAAGTGCTGAAGGATCTCAACAGGAGAATATTCGCGCAGTTCAGCGAAAAGTACGATATGTGGCATACGGCCGTTTACAAGCTGGCCACTATGGACGTGCTCATTTCTCTCGCGGATTACGCGCGAAGCGGCGACATGTGCGTCCCGGAGATTCACGACGGATCGGACGGCAAGGTAACGGTATCGTCCGTGTAACGCAATAAATATATCACTTACGCGAAATATAGCAAACAACATTCTTGCAGATCTTCATCGAGATGAGAGACGGAAAACATCCTTGTATCACGTCTGACGACTTTATACCCAATGACACCTTGCTAGCGACCGACGACGCCGCTTCTCTCATGATCCTGACCGGTCCGAACATGGGCGGCAAATCGACTCTCATGCGCCAAGTGGGCCTGATCACGATCATGGCGCAGATAGTAAGTTTCTTTGGGGGAAAAAATGCGCGCGAGTGAAACTCACGATCGACTATCGCGTCTAAAACATGTGTTTCATTTCCTTACGTAATTAGGGCAGCTACGTTCCGGCCAGCTCGTGTAGCGTAACTCTGGTGGATCGTATATTCACGCGGCTGGGCGCGAACGACGATATTCTCGCCGGTCAGAGCACATTCTTGGTGGAATTGAGCGAAACCGCCGCGATACTGCAACACGCTACGCCCTATTCGCTGGTTCTTCTCGACGAGTTGGGTAAGGATAATCGTCGCTAACTCGCTGGTTATCGTTCCTACTCCGGATGCGAGACTGATAGAGTAATAATAATCATTTATCTTGCAGGACGCGGCACGTCAACTTATGACGGCACCGCAATCGCGGCTTCGGTCGTCGACGCGCTGACCAAGCTGAAGTGTCGCACTTTGTTCTCGACGCATTACCACTCGTTAGTCGAGGATTACAAGACCAATAAGGAAGTCACGTTGGCTCATATGGTGAGAATCTTTCGTGTACTTGCGACAACATAAAAATACGCACGCATTGTAATACAATCTGTAAAATTGTAATATAACAAATAATCTTATATGTAAAAAATAATCTATGGTACATTTTAAGGATTTGATAAAAAGTGTTTTTACGATACATTGATTTTGCAGGCCTGCATGGTGGAAACGGAAGAGGAAGAGGAAGTGTCGCAGGAGACGGTGACGTTCTTGTACAAGCTCAGCGAAGGAGCTTGTCCGAAATCCTACGGATTCAATGCTGCTCGATTGGCAGGCGTCCCATCTACAATCACAAAGAGAGCGCACGTGATATCCAGCAAGATGGAGCAGGAAACTAATAATAAGCAAATCTTTACTGCTCTTTGCAAAGCTAATGCTGCTGGAATGAGAGAGCTCATCGCAGCCATTTAATTGCGCCAAGTAAATTTTTACGTAGATATATAAATATAAATTAAATGTTCCTTAGATGATAAACTCGTATAATTCTTTTTGAAGAAAAGCTGTTCGGAGAGCAAAGTGTTCACTTTGCAACTTAGATCTGTAATTCGACACAAAATATTTTTAAGAGATTAGTTACCAGTTTGAAAATAGCGTATAAAGACGGGCATTAATATCTACATTTTTATCATGCAAGACACACATTTTTTATGAATGTGTTAATTGCTTTCTAAATATTACCGCGTTATTAATCTGTGAAATTAGATGTAGCAGTCTCAGTGAGATCCTTCGATTTAAGTATATTTGACGTATGTTCATTCTTCATTCATTTTCGTATAGAATTAAGTTGTTGGTTTCTGCGAAGCCAATTGATTTCTGTCACGTTTACTCGCATCTTAATCCTCCATTTACACGTACCTATAATATTTTTTGCGTTATCCTCTAAGTTATATATTAATGTACTATATTTTGATAATAAAAACCAACATAAAAGTACATTGTTGTGGACTCCAAACATAGCGCATCCTAAAAAACCCAGCGTTCTTCAATCCTTTGTTTACCTGTTTTGGGGAGAAACTAGGCGACGTATCTTGCTTACAAAATTTTATTAATCAATGCCAGAGTACAAAAAGGCTACTTATGACGAATACGATGCATTGTGTTACAAACAACTTAATTTTACTCACACCAAACGACCGCGTAAGAATCTGCGTAGAGAAGGGAGAAAACAACGGATACATGGTGCACGGCTCTTTGCTGTGAAATAAATACCTTCGATTACGCGCTGCTATCTTATAAGAGAAAGAGAAGCGGGGCGACGGGCCTTGCGGAGTGCACGACGAGCGAAGGACGAGGGACGTCCTCCGTTCGCCGGGCTCGCGGCTCTCCCGTCGCCCGTTAGAAACAAGATAAGTATACAATACCGATAAATAGATAAATAATAATAGCTCCACGTGAATCGAGTGCGCACGATAACGATGTTTCTCACTCATTTTGACTTCTGAGAGACGGCGGCACGGCGCGAATCCACCTCTACAAATCCCGTATCCTTTCCGTTGCCGAAACGCGTCGCGATGATGATCTCCTCTCGCGGAGTGATAACGGGCGGAGGGGGGATTTTCCTGCGAACGTCGTCGGCCGCGTCTTTCGTGCGACGATAAAATCATGCGACTAAGAAGGCACGGAGATTAAGAAAGCACTTGACTTGGTTTAATGGGTTATACATGATACACTTTTATTTCTCGAAATAACATATACCTACTTCTAATGTACAATTCCGAGGTCTTTCCAATCTAGATCGCAATTTCAATCATTAAACGCACCGCTGCTCCTCAGTCTATCCTTCTCACGTATCACGACTGAATCCATTTTTTTTTTTTTTATATTCAATCAACGGTACTCCGAAGCGTCTCGTTAATTTATTCTTACGTGTATCTGACACTCTTTCGGTATACTTCTCCTCGGTGTTCGGCAGAATCGGTGCAACGATTTCTTTTCTTCTTCCGTTTTTTTTTTTTTCTAAATCAATGCCGCATTGTATAGCGGCGATCTTACTATTCTACGATCTTGGTACTTTTTTCTGTAGGTGTGTACTTTGAATATGCATAGCATTGTCCTTCACCTCGGGATGGGAGCGAGTTCCCGCGCGTGTGTCAGACGTGTAATTTTCCCAATTAAATGATTTTACGGGATCGAGACGCGACGCGCAATGTCGAAAGCGAGCAAAAGGCCGCGATCGTGGGGGCTCGACAGCGACGCGCAGGATCGAAATGGATCGCATGAATAAAACCTTATTTTGCGCCTTTGCTCTTATTTCTCGAAGGGAGCACTTCGAGAAATACGAGTGGGGGCATCGGACAGCAATTCGGACGGTAAAAAAATATCAGGAATAAAAAGTAATTAGATACAATACTGTACTCACACAAATTCGTTAAACTAGCGTATAAAAATTAAATTAAAATCCTACTAAGACAATTTTTTTAAGTCTTTTTATTTCAAATTAAACCTAACTGGATATTTTTTCGCTTCCACCTTCCGCCTAGCTTGCTCTTCCCTGTTTATTCATATGACTCATTATATGTAAGCTGTTGCTGATAGGAAATCGCGCTTCTCAGCCAAGTTGATTTACAACTTGCGAATCGCGCGCCGCGGCGTTCTAGCCTCAGAAAAGCACGCTTTACGCGCGATGATCGCTTTAACTACCTCTATACAGTTACGCGATAAAGCCGAGTTACTAGAGTTGCTAATTGAAGGACCGGTAATTCACGCTCGAGGAATCCCGGGATCGGCTTGCCTGCCCTTGTGCGCGCTCGCGGTCTTCCACAATGCGTTCCCGGCGCGGCAACTCAAACGAAATAAATCCTCAAAAACTTCAATTGAATATCCGGTGATGTCAGCGTTATTTCCTGCTCAACATCTCGCCCGATTTAATTAATTCTCCGTGTAATAAAACTTGTGTATTGTATGTGATTAAAATTTAAAAAGGCTAAGACACAATTGCGATGAATTCGGATAAGATCTTGCTGTTGCTGTCGAGCCGCAATACACGTTGCTAGCCGAACGCGACTTCCGCTCGTTTCCGCATTGCAGATTGTATTCGGGGGATCGACGATTTTATTAGTATTATAACTTTCGTCCACCCTCGCATTAACCCTTTCGGCTCTCCTAATGATAAAGTTGACAATGACAGCGCTTTACTTGGGGGAAAAAAAGTACCACTATTTTCATTACGTCTAAAATTAATCTTAATTCGATAACGCTCGCTCCAGGCCGAAAGAGTTATCTGTCATTCAAAAAATCAAAAAGTTTCAAAACTATTCTTACTTGGTTCTGTGTATTTTTCTGAATTGGTACAAAGCAAAGGAGATTGGTGGAGCGTTAATCCATCAAAGCCCACGATTTTATCTGCCGCCCTTTCTTCGGGTTCTACATAGAAAAATCATAGAAAAGTACGCACACCGCGGGTATACGATGTTATCAAGATTAGACCTCGGCGGCATTGTCTCGCGGACAAATGCGATTAGAAGGTTCTAGTGGATTTTAGCGGGCTTTAATGGATTAAGAGCACACAGGGCCGAAAGGATTAATCGTGGTGTCCCGGAGGGGGGACGGGGCGACCCGATGGCGACGTCGCCCGTTTACCAGAGTCCGGATGAGAAACCGCCGGGTGGAACGCGGGTACGCGTCGGCGGCTTCGCCGCCGCCGGCGACGTGTCGTGCGACTTCTCGCCGCTGCTGCTGGAATTCGAGCTGGCGATGCCGTTCTGCATGACCGGCCCGTTCTTCTGCGGCTCGGGCGCGTAGCCGGTTCCGGTTACCGGATTGCCATCTGCGGAAACAACGATTTTTCTCGTCAGTGAGGTTGCAGCAGAGTAAGGTCTGACCGCTGATTCTAACATCCAGATTATTTAATATTCAAGTATCTTAAAATATTTAATACTCTATTATGTAATATTTAATATTTGTGTGTGTACAGGACGTCCCGCAGACAAAACCGTTAATAGTAGATTCCTGAGATGATTTAAAGTGGAAAATCTTTATACCAAAATGTCCAGGCTACAATAATTTTTAAAAGGAATGTTTCAATTTGATTAATCAGATTGCCACGTGTGTCTGAGTGTAAATTTTTGACAATCTAATTGATCAACTTCAAACATTCCCCATTTAACAACTATTGTAGCCTCTACATTTTTGTATAAAAACTTTCCAAATAACCTCAGGAATTTGCTATTGATGATATGGTTAGGACATCCTGTATAATTGAAAGCTAATTACTATTGTAAACGTTAACTCTAGCTCGACTATAATCTCCCTGTATTTCTCCAACTTTTTATCATTAATCTTAAACAAATATTTAAAATTTGTCGACGTTTAAACTTTGTTGACTGTAAAATTTTAAGAGGAAAATATTACCTCAAAATAAAGTACACTTCTATTCTAAATACAGATCGAAGGATACAGCATTTCAAAATGGAGACCACGCTTTTTTGCTCTCATTATGCAATTGCATGGATAATTCTGGAATATTTTTCAAATACACAAAATCACTCTTATAACATTTTTTCGAGAAGAAAATTGCACTGTGCTATTTGTATAAATAGACGCACTTCTGTTCGTAACAGTTTTGCAAGAAATGCTTGGTGCTATCTCGGATAATGCATAACGTTACGTAAAGGTTTTTCTATCCGTAAAGATAGACAAATTCGGTGTCCGAGAAATTGAGCAGTATAGCAGACGAGCTACGTCCTATTCGCACGTCGCTGAACACATTGAATTTTTTAACATGCAAGTGATTCAGAGCGTAGGAACTCTCGGGATTTAATTATACCGATCTCCCTTTCGGAGCAAGATCTCGCACGCGGAGAGATTAGAAGGAGAGATTGACAGGAAAGAGTGATTTATTACGGAAGAGATCGATTCTATCTTTATACGTTCCTACGTGTCCAACACAAAACATTGGCAGAGTTTAGAATTCCGATTGAAACCCACATCGCATGCTGTAGATTCATACGTTCACACACTACTGTTCAACACTAAAAAAACATACTTTTAAGCTCTCAACTATGGTATATCTCAAAGTGTCATTCATTAATATTAAAACCGCGGCAATTTTGATATATTCTGAACGCAGAACGCAAGACGGAAACATTTGAGTCCTATCTAATTTTTTTTTTTCGAAATTTGTCCGATAAAACTGAATGTTTTTCAAACAAACATTTTAGACTCGAATTAATAAAAATAATACTATATTAATAAAATAAAAAATTGAAAATTTTTTAAACCAAACCTCGAAGTGACAAGATCTAAATTTCCAAAACGAAAAGAACTGTTTAGTTAAATTCTCTTTTGATATACAACATTTATCACACTAGCTAAGAGCTTATCTTATCTATCAAAGAAGAAGGATAGAAACTTTATCTTGCAGGCAATTAAGCACACAACTCAATCAATCGTAAAGCCACCGATATCGTCTATCGTTTGCAAATTGCAGATTAACACCTGAAATAAGCTACGAAAACACACACTGATATCTAACTATTATTGATTACACTATCGTGGTCGCATGAACTTACCGTGGCATTACAGTGAATGCCGGGAATGACGTAATGCGATGAATTAAAGACTCGTTTAAATTGATTTATTATTCATAAACACGTCGAAATGATTTATCGACGAAATTTTCCAAGGGCGATTTAAGCAAGTCTTTAATACGACTTCGAATGAATTCGAATTTGTAATTTGTGTGAGGTAAGAATAGGAAATGGACAAATACATAGACACTTATTTGCTAATGCCTTATCAATAACGTTCTCCTGTCTTCCAACTTGTAAACGAACAATTATCCAAATGCTTCATCGTCGCCTCTTATCGCTAGACGAATGACACACATTGAAGGAGTTCGTGTTCAACTTCGCATTCGGTTCCGAGCGACACATGTCAGCGGACCGTTTGAGACGGTAAACGGCGCGATAACGCTCGTTCTCTTTAAACTCCGATTTATGCGGGACATGGTCTATTGACGTGTTCCTCGGCAATGAACGGCGAAATAGCTTAGACATTATTACCGTGTTAATGCCGCGATTAAACAGCGTGGAAGACGATAACGGTATCCCGGCTCGTAATTCTATACCGCTCGATAAACAATTCGCCACGTTCGGAATTCCTCGCGGAAAGCATTTCCTCGAGAGTTCAGCGATGCCCGAGCTTTATCCATCGCGTTGCAGCCGGAGCTCTCGCCTCGATCTTTACGAGCGACCCTCGCGAACACACGCGAAAAATAGCGTTCAAGTTTCTCGCCGCCATAAATATTTATATCCTTATTATTTTTGTAATTACGCATATAATTTAACGCGACTCGCGAGCTGCACGTGCTACAGGAATAACGAAGCATTTTACGTGCGCTCACAATTAGCGCGAGCTTATTAGCGCAGACGTTCAATTATGAATCCGCGTTCTTCAAAACAGAGCTCGAGAAGTAATTAATTTCCTTCCATTCGGATACTCGCTTTCGGAAAACTGGTCTGATCAGATATACATCTCCCGATAAAAAAGGGTCACTCGCAAGATTGAAAACAGGAAACTGAGAGCAGTTTCATTCAAGTTTTAATTAACTCTAGTTATCTCATCCTCTCTGCTGTACTATGTTTAATATAGAATATCTTCCTGTACTACTTAACGAGTTAAAATTTACTTAATCCATCCTCCAATCTCTTAATTATCTGAAATCACTTAAAAGATTGAAAAAATTCCGAAAAAAAGTTTTGACTCAAGTTTGGATTAACATTAGTTACCTCTTGATGAAAAAATTATACGTACACAGCGACTTAAATTTATTTAACTTATAATTAAACAATTGCTAAATCAGCATCGATTAAGTATTCCGATAATACAAAGTAACTACACAAAAGTCGCTACTCTGCATCGGCGCTATTTTTTTTAATTTGCATCGTTTCAGAGTGCAAGGATGAGGAATCGTCGAGTAGGAGACAGGGAGAGGATAATCGAGAATCGGATAATTGGAGAGAACGTTACCTCGATACTTTCGTGGGATGCGCCTCACGGGCGTCACCTCGATTCCGTCGCCGGTGACCGGGTTGCGCGCCGGCACACAGGACGGTCCTGCAGGAAGGATGCGGCGACGGGCGTGCCAGCGGACCCGTGCCGTTCCAACCGTGTTCGACAGCCGTTTTCGCCGCCACGTACGCACGAGGCGACGCGCGAGCCAGAGTCGTTTCACCCCATGCACCGTAACACCGTAGCAAAACCCACAAAACCGTAACCCAACCAACTTGTGTTAATGCGCGGCAATTCGTACGGACGGATCGCAGATGCCACACTACGTTTGCTTTTCAAATTCTACGTGAATTTTGATCGATGTTTGCAAAAAAAATTTACACTACGCCGTATTTCTCTTGTTATTCAATTTTATACTCGATACACAGTTATATTTTTCTATACAAAAAATGTAATCCGACGTTTTTTAGAGACGAGAACACAAAAAGCACTCTCGAGATCTTGGATTCGTCCGTGCGATGGAAATTAAGGTCAAAGCAAAGTAGAAACGGTGTGTGTTGTGCTTTAAGTTGTAAGAGAGGGTGGAATGAATATTTGCAGTGGTGAAAACCAAGACAGTGGTGTCGTGAAAGCGAAACAAATCACATGTTATGCCAGTTACCAAAAAAAAAAAAGGAATAAATCTCGGAATAATTTTTTACTTTCTGCCGATGATACGTTTCCGGTATTAATCTGTCGCATTCAATGTTATTATCTCCCGCGATCGTGCTTTTGTTAAACGAGTCGAAAATTATTGTAAATAAATGTATGGAATGTCGATAGTGCATCACACACAGAACGCCGAAATTCGTAAGTGACATCTCGCAAACGACATTGAAATTCTTTTCTTTTGTCTTTTCAAAAGAATCTTTTTAAATTCGCTTTCAAAGTTCTTTTTTGCGATAAATTTATGTTTCACAGTTTCGCATTTCTGATTTATTTAGTTATTATTAAATATTTATAAGACCAATGTTAAAAGATTGTTCGCGTGCGTCGACAAAGTAACAATTTGTGTTTAAATAATGATGATGAAATAATTATAATTTCATGTAAATTTTTTGCCATAATTTGGCTGCTCATCAATGTCGTTCACTAATTCGTTGTAAGTGAGCGGGATCGTGTGAGAAACATAAATATAAATAACTTGACGTGAAGCGAGATGGTGAATGTTACTAGCAGAAACCGTACAAACTTAAGACCTAAACAGTACGGCGTGTCTAACTCAAAATATGTGTTTCTATTTTCGTGGCAGGCCCTAGAATAATGTGATGATGTCGAGATACATGAACGGGAATTTTTCGCAAAAATCGCGACCGCGACCACAAATCGAACACTTCTTTCACCGCGATGATAATTTTGCCGAGAGAAAAAGAGAGATAAAATTATTTACTTCTGTCGTATGTGAAATGATTCCCGAACGATTTCGCTAATCTAACTATGATCAAAGAACAAAGTGTGGCAGTGTCGTGTATCATCTACTTGAATGTCTCTTTGCACACTTACGAAATCGTTTCTTTCTCCTAAAAGCTGCTTGCGAACAGTTCAAGTAAAGTGACTTACATTAAAAAAAAGGCGGTAGATTAGACAATAAGATCGAGATCGATAGTGAAATTTATTTTGTTTCTTTAGTGTCTCGCTAGCTCCGTATTCGACTAGCCGAAAGCCGGGTTCGGCGATCGTAAAGTGCAATTTCGCGTCCAACCTTCGCCGTTGATATCAAGCATGATTTGACGAATAATAAAAAAATCAAAACACAATACAATTGTTAATCAACTTTAGGTGAAAAAGGCAAAAAGAGCTGTTGTTCACGAACAACTAGCAACGGCTCTTTTTGCCCTTTTCACCTAAAATTGATTGATAATTTCCTTAATATTATTATTGTACAATACAATTGAATAATCAAACTCAGCGACTTTAGCGTAAGAAAAATTCTAGTGTAATCAAAATACGAAAATATTTTTGAGACAGTCGTCTCAAGAAAAGGAAAAGAAGAAAAAATAGAAAAATAATTTTTAAGATACAAAGTTTATACAAGCACAAATTTTCAGCAAATGTAAACACCTACAAATTGAAAACGTTTCCGATTGTATAAGAAAAAAGTCGCGACAAAAACAGAATAATAGGTACAGAGATTTCAGAGAGCCTGCGATACACACATATTTCAATTTAGATCAGGATCGTCTCCCTTGATATTGTAAGTAAAAAGGAACACGAATGTGGAAATAGTTCGGAGAGTCCTGGGGCGGCTTACTTTAACAATTCAAATTATTAAAATTGCTAAACGCACTTTATTTAAAAGTTAATTCTAAAATTAAATTTTATATTCAAAATTATTCTAAAATTAATAATTTCAGGCACAAATTCCACAAATTAAAAATTACAAAAGCGTGTACCACACGCTATTATCTTTTAAAATGCGATATAAATATACTAATGTCATAATTAATATTTTTCGTTAAATACAAAAATCGCTGATCATCGAATTTTTTAAATATCAATGCAACGAAATTTTACCGAGAAAATTAACAATGTTCGCCCCAAGGATAATTCGCAATTATTTCCTTGTTCGCGACGGGGCTCTTACCTGTGATATCGTTGAAGCAGCCGTTGCTGGCAAAGCCGTTAGCGATGCCCGACGACGAATTGCTGTTGCTGCTGGCCGTACTCTTTGCGGGCGATGTCGACGACAGCGACGAAACCGATGATCCCCCGCTGAGGGGGATATTGCTGCGCATGTGATTTCTCGCGTTTTGGGTGGTGGATGGGGCATCGGGAGGGCCAAACAGGCGTTTGTATGAATCATTACCGGGCTTGTTGCTGCGCGGTGAAACGACGGGGGACGGGCCGTCGGTGCCGTTGATGTCGCCGAACAGCGCCGAGCCCAGCTGGGACTGATTGTGGGCCTTGATGCGACGCGGGCTCGTCTCCTCCGGGCCCGAGCCGAAAATGTCGCTGCTACCACCACCGGGCGGTTTCAACACCCTGGAACGAAAATGAAACCGGTATGGTGAGTGGCAGATTCGAGAAATATAAAATCAAAAATGTGAGATCGAGTTTTGCGCTTGCTAAAAATAATATTCTGAAATATGCACTCTAGACAAATAAATGAAAAAATGTCCAACACGAATTTGCAAAACAGAAAATTTGGATAATTCAGACATATCGAGAGTTGCTTAACACGTTATATATATATTTATGAGCTCTGGGTTTTTTTTATGTAAATAGAAATATAATCGACGAAATGTTTTTTTCCCTAAAATTCTCAATGACGAGAAAATTTTCACAGATTTTGTATGACGCTAGAATTATTTTACCTGTCGAATTCAAAGCTTCTTTCGAATCAAATTCAAAGAAACTTTCTCTCTTTTTTTCTCGCAACCCATTTTCTTTAGTTAAATAGAGAAATCTGTTACATATTCATACATTTCATATCTATTCTTTTATGCGGGCACTGCAAAATGGTATTAGTTGCCGTAGTTTCTAGTTATCAACAGATATATTTTTAGACGCCTCTTCTGATAACATGCCAAGTCATGTTCGTCAAGGAAAAAAGATAAAGCACATACAAGCGCTGACAATGGTGAAATCGACAAACGGCGAAATCGAGCCGTGCAAACGCGATAGTCTCCGCTGCCCATCGACAGGCTAACACACCGGCAGATCGGTGGGCAGAGAAGCACAGACGATGCAATTTGCGAGCGCAAATCTACACCGATTTCCGCTTAACGAGGCGCGATGCGCGCGGCACGCGCGCGTTGTCGCGTGTGCCCGAGCAGAAGAAAAAGGGGGTAAAAAAAAACAAGTGGCGAGAATTGGAAGGGGCCGAGTAATTAAGAAAATGATGAACCGCTTCCTTTTTTCTCACCGGGCCACCTCGACCGGAAGGGGGGCAGGGAGGGGGCGGTTCAATTAGGGCCGCAATTTCAATTAGCGAAGGGAACGGCGCGTGCCTCGTGTGCGCCCTCGATTTTTTAATTGCTCGACAAATACGATCCAGTTTCGAGCATGTGGATCCCACCTATTTTGCAAATTTAATAATATTAGTTTCAGCTTAATAAATTGAATAAAACGTTGTACTGCTATAAAGGAAAAATCGTTAATTTGGAATGATAATTTGTTAAAGCAATGTTGTAATTATTTTACAAATTAATGTTGTTCAGATGTATTTAGGTACTAGCACATTATTTAAACAAAGTGACACGGCAGAATAATTAATTACACGTTCCGCTCTCGTCTCAAGTTAATGCAGAACAGTAAGAAATCGTTAATTCGTGATCGAGGAAATGACGTTCCGGTTTAATTAATGATATACAGCCTTCATTTTGCGACGTTGCGTATCGCGCGTTGCACCATCACGATGATGAATAGACATTTCCGCGTTATTACATCTGGGATGATTGCATATCAAGAGTAGATAGAAATGTCCGAGAAGCTGCACATCGCGAGATTTTGTGGAATCTTCTGTTAGTTTTTATCGTTACGTTAGCGATATAAAACATATCTGTATCGAACACGAAGATTATTAAGTTTTTACTTACAATTCTTTTTATTTCTTTCAAAGAGCGTTCAAGTAATCAAAGTTGCAACATTACACGCTCTTTACTCGGTTGTGAGTAATAATTTGTGTTAACTAGAATTAAATATAAATAGTCAAAATCTTCACAAGTAAATTGACCATATTTTTTTATTAACATTACAATAATTTTACTTTCTTCTAATTGAAAAGACTGGAACAAAATTCTAACCCAAAATTGAATTATTTTTTTAAGAAGTTAGAAAATGTTTTCATCAAACGATCCAAACGACAAATAAAATTAAATAAAAAATCAAGTTGTCTGCCTAATTTCTGCGTCAATTAAAATCTAACTATTAAAAAATTTGGTTTTAATATTATCCCAGCCGATGTTTCAATTATTAATAATGAAGTCTCTTCTCTAACTATTGTTCCTCATTTCTTGTACCTTACTTGTCTACTTTATTGTCTTGGCGCCGCGATCGTAAACATCGAACACGATGCCCACGTCTCTCGCGAAAGGTAGCCGCGTTCGGCGGTACGAGCGGTAAGTA